GTTGAGATCATGACCTGAGCGACCCAGGTGCCTCTTAAAAGTATTATTCTAAGCAAGGATCTGTGCTAGTTCTTATTTAGATTTGGGGGATGGGCTGTCTCTCACAAAGTTAGGTGAGAAAATAGGAAATTAGTGTGTTTATTTATTTAATCTAAGCAACCTCCCCTGAGTTTTGCTAAACTTCTGGCTCCATGTTGATAAGAGAAACCTGGGTAGTAATTTCCTTATACTTCAGCGTTTCTCCATGGAAACATCTGAGTCAACATGTATAACTGTTTTAATGGCTGCGATGTAGATTACCACCCAATCTCTACTGCGTCATAATCTTTACTTTTTCCATATTACCAAAGTAATTAGCCTGGCTATGTTGCCATACTATTCAATGACATTATATTACTATGATTAAATTGTGTTGGCTTCTCTTTCCCATCATCTAAGTGTAAAATAAAGCGTTTGATGGATTAACTCATTGATGATTATCATCTGGATTTTTGAAAGGATAACATTCCAACTCATGTGGGATAATACATTTAGGTTATAATCAGAACTGAGTCATGTACAAGTCTCAAACATTAGCATGAGAGGAAGAAGTCCACATGAGATGACTTCAAGAGCAGATAGATGTCTAATTTTGTGAATGCTGAGAAAGTTAAACTTTCCATGTCAAATGGCAGTCATTCAGTAGTAACAACTGGTCACAAATTATTTTTGTATACTAGGATCATGAAAGTTCACTAGGGCCCAAACTGGATGAAGGCCTGCCCACTGCACCTTTCTGGCCTGCCCTCACAGGCATGTATTGTGTACTAGAATTTGTATGGGTACTGCATTTCATTTGCATTCTATTCTATATTATGATAGTTACTTTAAAAAAATTTTTTTTAATGTTTATTTCTGAGACAGAGAGAGTATGAGTGGGGGAAAGGCAGAGAGAGAGGGAAACACAGAATCTGAGGTAGGCTCCAGGCTCTGAGCTGTCAGCACAGAGCCCGACACGGGTTTGTGATCTCACAAACCGTGAGATCATGACCTGAGTGGAAGTCGGTCGCTCAACCAACTGAGCCACTCACGTGCCCCATATGATAATTACTTTTAAAATGATCTATTCTGGGGGTGCCTGGGTGGCTCAGTCAGTTAAGTGACCGACTTGGGCTCAGGTCATGATCTCGCGGTTCCTGAGTTCAAGCCCCACTTCGGACTCTGTGCTGACTACTCGGAGCCTGGAGCCTGCTTCGGATTCTGGGTCTCCATCTCTCTCTGCCCCTCCCCTGCTCACATTCTCTCTCTCTTTCTTTCAAAAATAAATAAACATTAAAAAACATTTAAAAAAATGATCTATCCTAGAACTTTAAATTTTAACTTGAATATTTAACATGGATAACATTAACTGAAAAAGATAAACACGTAAAATAGATGATAAAAAACAATAAATAAAAAAGCATTTTATTTAAGTAATGTGTTCATAGCAGTAAATGTAGCATTATCTTTATGTAGCCTTACCTTTTAGAGTAAAATGAAAATGAATTAAATGGGATTTTCCTAGAAGTATAGGCAAATCAAGCTGTAGCTGTTTACTTGTTCAGTATCAAGTGAGACAATTACATTGAAATCACTACATTTAGTACATTAGAATAATTAGCCCATTAGAAAGATTCTATCTGGGTCAGACAAAAGACTAACGAGGCTGAATATAATGAAGAGGGGAATAAGTAGGATATATTTTTGTTGACCTTATCTTGTTCTTTAGGTTTTTGAAAAAGTGGTAAGGAATAACCTCAGACCTCTTTGGGTATGATATAAGGAATGATTTATCATTATAATCAGTTAGTAATGGCCAGTTGCTGAAATGGCAATATTTAATAAAAATAGCATACGTCCAGGAAAAATATGTAACAAGAATATTTTGATCACCTATTATGAGAGAGACATTGTTCCAATTCTTAGGCATGTAAGGTAATAAAAGTTAGTATGACTCCGTAAGCCATCATCATTTTCAGCATAAGCTTGGATTTATTTGTGATAATCCACACTTTGTTTCCACATCTGATTTGGGGTCCAAGGTACTTGCTGAAGACAGAGGTACACCGCGCAACTTTACTTGTTTTTGAACAATGGCAGAAAAATCCTTACCTCACATAGCTGGACCCGATGGCTCATCAACAATGTGGCTTCAACCTAGAATCTTTTCTTAAATTTTTTTCTTTTCCTTTTTTCTTTCAGGGAATCTTTAAAAATCGATACATTCAATGTGTAATTAAAACTTGAAACATAAACATGTATGCTTTTGTCAAGTTTTTAGGATGGCTTTTTTTTTCACATGGGTCTCGTGATTGGAGTTTCATAATGTCTTTCATATATACATGATGTATATAAACAATAGTTAACCCTTGTGATTCTCAGTTTTGTTTCCTGAAAATAAGATGGAAACTTTTTTTTAATGTTAATATTTTTGAGAGAGAGAGAGAGCACGAGTGGGGTGGGCCACAGAGAGTGGGAGACAGATGATCTGAAGTGGGATCTGTGCTGACAGCAGAGAGCCCAATGTGGGCTCAAACTCAGAAACCATGAGATCATGACCTGAGCTGAAGTTGGAAGCTTAACCAGCTGAGCCACCCAGGCATGCCCGGGATGGAAACTTTAAAACACTTGTGAAGCGAGCTATGGGAAAGCTCCTATATTTTTAGGATTTGTTCACCTATCTTTTTGAGGGCCTGTTCAACTTCTCCTAAATTAAAGACTGTAGTTCTTAGAGATTCACCTTCACTGAGTCACTAAAGTGAACAAGATGGTATGATTCTATTACTGAGCATTTCTAAAACATTAGTTCTTATTGAAACAACTTTGCCTTTTTCATTTATATTTAATTGATTTTTGTGGTATTTATCGGAGTTATGTGTTTACAGTACTAAGCTCAACTGGGATAAAGAGGTTTGAACGAACCTGAGTGACTTGATGACAACACAGTTTGACTGGTGGGAATAGAAGTATGTAGCTAAGGCTAATTCTCTTAGCTTTCCCTTCCTCTGTGTCTTGGTTTCATCTTCATGCTGACTTCCCTTATGGTGGAAAAACAGCTGTAGTTCTAGGCCTCACATCCACATACCCCACTGATCAGAAGCATTAAAAGTATTTCTTCATGGAGCTTCAGCAGGAAAATAAGTATGCGTTCTTCCCCAAAGCCTCTAGCAAACATCTCTTATTTCCTTGATGTGAATCGTATCATGGACCCTTCCCTGAATTAATTACTGTGACCAGGTGATGAGATGTGCTCTTTGACTTAAACTCATCATGTATATCCATGAAACACATGGAATGAATGAGAGAAGGAAGATACTGGAATGAAAATTGTGGTTCTGTAAGAGGGTAAAGAAAGAGGAAATGCCCACTATAGGATGCAAACCAAGTCTGTAAATTCCTTACCATATTGATCACTTTAATATAATATCATCCTTGAAATTACAAGCATTATTTTTTTAAATAGGGAGAAGTCATATAAGATATTTTTCTTATTATGAATGTGAAGTAGTATTTGTAGTGTACTGGAAATAGATATGCACAATTACATTGAATAATGTGAATTATTTCATTCAGTGTCTCAGAGGAGAACACAGCTTAGTGGCTAAGAACGTGGATTCATATCCAGAATCTTGCACTGCTGTAATATGACTATCTTTGTGACCTTAGACAAATTTCATAATACAAGACCTCAATTTCTTCATCTACTAAATATAAAGAATCATAAAGTTGTGGGGATTAAATGATCCATATAAAACACTTAGTACAGTTTCTGGCCACACTTAACAAATGTTAGCTATTATTGTCAGGATCTAATCAGAGTGGGTAGCCTCATTACCGTCTCACTACCTGGAAGTCTTCTAGAACTCTGGAATCAAACTTCATGTTACATCTTTGAAAGAAACTTATATAACTTGAAAATCCATCTTGTTTGTTTTTCTGAGTAAAATGATAAATTCACTGCTCACTTTTCTTCTCACAGTATGAACTTAAGAATGAAAGAAAACTATAACAACGTAAAACAACAATCTTGAGCTAAAGAAGCTGGGCAGAAAAGAGTAGATACTATGTGATGTCATTGAAATAAAAGTAGAGGCAAATCAATCTATGGTGTTAGAAGGCAGGATACTGATTAGTCTTGGTGGGGAGGGGTTAAGTGACTGAAGGGAGCTTGTGGAGAGACTTCTGGCCGGTGGTCGTGTTCTGTGTCTTGATTTGGAGGTTGGTTATAAAGTATGTTCACTTAATGAAATTTACTTAGCTGTATACCTATAATTTGTCCACATTTCTTTTTTTTTTTTATAATTTGTTACATTTATCAAAAGGCTAACAGTGAACATGCGTGGTTCCTTTGGATCAAGAAATACAGCTGCTCAACTTTTGTTCAGAGTACAAGTTATACAAAGATGAGCCAAGAGGAACCTATTTCTTTGCAGGAAATATGGCCTTACAAGAACAATCTCTCCCATGATTCCATGGTATGAACGGCTGGCCACCGAGAAGAGGCACATCCTCAGAGAGTGGAGAGTGAATTATCAAACCCTTCTCTTTTGAGGTCCAATGTTATTAAAACCTTTTAAATGGTTGGTGTTTGTCCTAAAGGAAGATTGTTGTCAGTATGTCCTTAAAGTTCCCCAATGGGTTGCTAAAGATTAGGGAAGGAGAAAATGACCTGATAATGGAGACCTGAAGGTTCATGAATGTAGAGCTGAGTACATCATATATCTATTGTGGAACACGTGGGCCCTGCTGATCTAAGCCAATCTGTGTATCCTATGCTTTTAACCCGAGTGATTGCTTCAGACATGTGTGTGTAACCAGATCACAATGATATTTAAGGTCACACTTGCTGAACTATCTCATTAAAAGAAAGGTAAAGAAAAAAATTTGATTGTGGAAATGGCAGAGATGACATGTCTTTTGTCCAAGATGTTGAGGTATAACATGTGAAGTTGGTTATATTGAGTCCATATTACTGTCACCAGCAGGGAAACCCTGAGGCTTCCCTGGAAGGCCATTATGTAGATCCTGAGGATAAAGCCTGTGTGACAAAAGGCAGAGTGGAGAGATGGAGAAAACACGGAGTCTTTGATGACACAGACTATTGTTAAAGCCTGTCTGAGTAGGTTTTTCTTTCATATATACTGATAGTTAACGGATTCAACAATTTAATTGTTTTAAGAATGTATGTAATATATATAGTTTTACCTGATTTCGCCTTATATAAATATTGACAAAGGAAGAATACACATGAAATGATTGATCTGAGCTCATTAACCCTTACAAACAGTTCTGCCCTTATCTCTCCTAACTTCTACCTCTTTCTCCCACTTAGTTTTGAAGGATTTCCAGAGATTATTGTGTCTTGGCATTTAATGTTTTATATGGATATACTATACTTCCTTCATAGAGGGACCAAGCTAAAAATTGCCAGTCAAATGTTGTTGAATAATGGCTATTTATTTTAAAATGGACCTTAATTTCTTTTTTAATTCCAGGACAAGATGACTTCTCATAGTCACGTGTTAGGTGATCCGTAACTGGAAATCTGTCATTCCTGGATTCTAACTATATCAACAGAGACCATGAGAGACGATTTCTGCTGAGCACCATGGAAGTCATTAACAGTTTGGCTTGTCTCCATTTTTAGGTCAACACTCTCATACCCTCCCTCATTCTATTTCCAGTAGTTCATGTTTTCCCAGAATAGCTATGAAATCATGTAATTAGCCTCCAAATCAGCAACGCTGACACAGCCATTGGCATTAAGTACAGAAAAAATTGATCAATTTATTTTAAAGAAAACATCCTAAGGGAGTGAGGTCTGCTTTCAAATGCCAGGGACAGTTTGATCTATTAATACTACATTTCTGTCATTATAACACGAAATGGCTACTAAAAACTGTTCCCACATTGCCTCCAAGAATGCCTGCTTCTAGATGCAGCACATACCCCGTTGATCAGATTTCTGCACATGTATCATGGTGTGCCCATCACAAAGGCAAAGGAGCTGGGTCCAGATGGAAGTCTATAAAATAACATATTTAAAGGTGAGGTAGGTGGTATATGAGGGCAAGAGTGGGGTGCTACCCAAGAGATTTTTTAAAAAGGAAAATGGTGGGGTGACTGAGTGGCTCAGTCGCTCAAGCGTCCGACTTTGGCTCAGGTTATGATGTTGGGGTTTGTGAGTTCGAGACCTGTGCTGACAGCTTGGAGCCTGGAACCTACTCAATATTCTGTGTCTCCCTCTCTCTCTCTGCCCCTCCCCTGCTCACACCCTATATCTCTCTCTCAAAAATAATCATTAAAAAGATTTTAAAAAAAGGAAAATGTATTTTCCTTTGTGTTTTTTTTCTATAAAATCAATATATGGTGGATATGTCAGACATATAAGATATTACGTGGGAAGACAGAAAGACTCATGAATAAAAGTAAGACATAATGGTGACCTGATTGGTGATGTGTCTGGGTGTATATTTGTGAGTACGTGCATATGTAAAGTCAATCCAATTTTCTCATCTGAAAAATACAAATAACAAATGCACCTATTTCACAGTGGCCTCATAAAGATTAAACGGAGGGAAGCATGGAAAGCATTTAGTGCAATGCCTGCTGCATTAGAAGAACTTAGAGGGTGTGGAGGAGAAAGCAGCAGGCACAAGAACACATAGGCGACGCCATCCATTTGCCTCCTTTTCTGCACAGTCTGAGGTCTGCCCAGGAGCTGCTCTAAGTGCTTTACATGTTTTAACTCCCTTCATTCCCACAATAGGTACTTTTGAGTACCTTTAAGGCAGGTGCTGTTTTATCTCCATTTCTCAAACCAAGAAACAGGCACCAAGGAGTTACTAAGCTTAACCTTGCCAACATTACAAAGTTGGCAAGCAGACAATCGCCGGAGAGGGGATGGGCCCCCTTCAGTCTATAATGCTGGCATCAATGGAGTGTGAATGTCCTTGGAGCCCACCTTGAGGTTCTGATGGTTTCCAGGAGTTCCTACTTTTTGCCCAGAGGCTATCTTTTCCAAAATTAGTCATCTCGTGGTTCTTGGTTCATGAAACTGCTTAAATTTGTATAATTGTAGATTTATAGGAGTCCTCTACATTCTTTAACTTGTCTGCCTGTTTCCAGGCATCTGATGGTTGTAGTTTCTCTTAGGAGCTGTTAAGACCTTTCTCTTTTAAAAATTTTTAATGTTTATTTTTGAGAGGGGGGGGGGGGAGGCAGGGACAGAGAGAGACACACACACAGAATCCGAAGCAGCTCCAGATGCTTAGCTGTCAGCACAGAGCCCAACATGGGTCTCGAGCTCACAAACTAGGAGATTGTGACCAGAGCCGAAGTCATACGCCCAACCAACTGAGCCACCCAGACACCCCAAGATTTTCTTGGTTCTTTGTATGCCAGGTAATTTTGGATTTTATTTTGGGCATTTTGAATATTATACGTATCTGGGTCCTATAAAAATCCTTAGAAATGTTGATTTCATTGTTTCAAGTAGACAGCCTGGTTAGGTTCAAACTGCAAATCCTATCTTCTGTGGGCAGTGGCTCAATTTTTAAAGTCTTTCAAACTTTAAAACCATGTGGTCCCAATCTGGGACTTGAGTGGGGCTCTATACTGCAGTTTCATGGAAAGCCTTCACTATGCTGTTTTGGGTCTCTATTGCACATGTGCATCTCAGCTATGAACCTAAGACCTGTGTGGGTTCACACAGGGATGCATAGGTTGAGCGAATTTTCTTTCAGCTTCCTCTTCTGTGATTTCCCATCTTCCAAGGATTCCTTATCCCAGTCTTGTCACTAGAAAGCTGCAGTTTCTCCCAGAGTTTCAGCCTCCCCACACTATTGTGCCCTTCCCATAACTGGAGCACAGGGGCAAGAGAGAAAAAGAACAAAGAAAAAAATGTGAGAGAAATCTCTTGGGCTTCTCTCACATTTTTGGGTATGGTGAGCAGGCCCTTCCCTTTTTGCCTGGAGATGAGGGTTTCTCTTTGGGTTTTAGCTGCTGCAAGACATCAAGTTTCACTACTCTAACACTGGAGTTTGCTTCAGGGAAAGCTGGGATAGAGAAAAAGAAAAAAATAAAGATTTCTCCCACAATCTCAATCAGGCTACTACCCCATCTTGTGATAAGAGAGTACAGTAAAACCTTGGTTTGTGAGCATAATTTGTTCCCGAAACATGCTTGTAGTCCAAAGCACTTGTATATCAAAACAAATTTCCCCCTAAGAAATAATGGAAACTCAGATGATTTGTTCCACAAGGCAAAAATATTCATATAAATATTATTACAATAGTGTAATATAATACAAAACAATAAAGAAAATACAAATTATAAAGAAAAATAAACAAATTCACTTGCACTTACCTTCAAAATCCTTTTTGACTGGTGTGAGGGAGATGAGAAAGAGGAGGGTTATTGTGTAAGATGATTTTCACTGTCACAAATGAAATCACTGCTATCTGTTGGCCCAATGGAATCTTTTTCTGCATGGGGGCCATTGTATACACTCACACAGGTGTTGACTGCAGTACAGTATTAATAAACTCTTGTCATATACTGTATTTAATGTAAGTGGCAATAAGGCAGCAGAGGAAAGGGTCTGTATCTGCAGACAGCCTGACCTAGCAAGGAGCAAAGCATTCCCAAGCTTACTCTTACATGGAAAACTAAAGGACTGTCCATAGGTGCTTTGAAGTGACAGAAAATACACTTGTGCCAGTTGTGGACACCTTCCAACTTTCTGAAAAATCACTGACTTCTGCCAAACACCACAGGCTGAGACAAAGCATCTGAGCATGGGAGGCGATCACCTATAATCCCACAGCGAAAGAGAGAAGAATCATTGGCTCAGTTGTGATCATGTGATGTTTGGCATCACATGCTAATTGTATTGTAAAACATAACTCATTTATCAAGTTAAAATTTATTAGAAATCTCTGCCCATCTTGCAGAACACCCACAGAGCAAGTTATTCGCAATCCAAGGTTTTACTGTATTTTTCTCAGAGATTTTCACGTTCACGTGTGCTGCAAGTAGTATTTGGGCTCCCCCAAGTCTAAGCTGGGAAACTGTTGCATAGGCTGTTCTTCAGTTTTGGTTTCCTTCCCTAATAGGCCTGCTCTTGTTTATTTTCAGAGACCTCAGATAGTGCTCTTTGTATTCTCTTGTAGGACTTTTAGTTATAATCACTAGGAGAATTAGGGTGTAGTGGGCTTACAACAATTTACATGGAAGCAGAAACTCTTTAGTTACCTTTTAAGTTGAGATAATCCCATTCCTGGGTGTTATATAAATTCACTATGTA